TTTAATAAATATTTAATTTAATATTTATAATTGTAACAAATTTTATAGTATAAATTTTAAAATTTTATATTGGTTTCCTTGGACAATAATCGTGCAGAGCTGTGGTTTTCAACCCAGGGATCGTGGAATATGGTTTGGGGACCTTTAAAAATAATGAAAAATGGTTATTCAAATAAAAATGTAATATTTTAAATGTCAATCTAATAATTATAAATGTACAATAACATATTGAATAAAACAGATTATGGTATAATCTTATCTGACGATCGATTGTTAAGTATAAGCGATTGTGGTCACCAATATTAATTGAATTGTCATTTAATATCAGGTCAGACTCGTCCCCAAGGAGGCGGGGCTGAGGAGGAATTTCCCTCCCCTTATACCAATTTTTAAAAATGTTTATTAAAAAAATAATAATGATCAGTAGTAAAAGTTTTAATAATATAAATTAAAAAAAATAAAACAATAGTATATTATGAAAGATAATATATACCGGCTATGCTTATACATAGATAACTGTAACCATGATAATGGCTATAAAAATGCACAATGGATACCACGAACTAAAGATATTCTATAGAGTAATATAATGTGATAAGTAATATGATGAGAAAATCTTTACTTTTCATGATAATTCAAAATTTTATAAGTGTATTTGCTGTATTTGGATAATAATTAATAATGATAGATATTAGTTTAACTTTCACCTAATTGCTTGCTCTTTACTTCATTATTTTTAGATTAAAAACTACTGTATTCAAATGCAGTAGCGTATACATAACTTTTGTATGAGGGGGGGATCAGTTACAAACAAATCATTATGGAAAGAAAATTCTTAAACGTAAGTATGAGCACATTTAAACAATAAATAATAATATATATATTGAATGTATCAAAGTGATAATTTACAATCAGTTTTGGGTTAAGGTAGGGGGGGAAAGAGGGCAGTTACCCCGGGTGGCAATTTTTTGACGGCGTTAACAAAAGTTTTGAAATTTTTTAATGTATATATTAGTTTTTAGGAAAAATAATTAATTTATTATTGAAAAATATTAATAACAATTATATAACATATATATATATATATATATATATATGTATATATTATAATTATAATAGTTATTTTATGTTATATTAAACCGCTGAGTTATTTCGTCTGTGGGCGTTTAGCATATTAAGGGTAAAACCATATTATTATTATTTAGCGCTTGGACCTTTGCATTTTTATTTTCGTTATACTGACATAAAATTGTGTTTAATGCATTTCTTATATATATCTATGTGTATATTATAATTGATAACCATCAGATTATTAAATTTGATATTAATAGTCTCAAATAATTTATTTACTACCAAGCAATTGTTTTTGTCATCTCTCTCTCTCTCTCTCTCTCTCTCTCTCTCTCTCTCATCTCGTGGTCATAGAGGTCATCGGTCTCGAGTTCGATTCACGAATCACGATTGACTGGAAAACAAACATGTCTAATATTTTATTTTCAATCAATATGAGTGGAAAGTGCATACAAATGCATATATTGAAATAAATGAGTTGTTGGTTTTTTTTTTTAAATGTAGAAGGAATTGACAATGATTTTTACGAGAAAAATCAAAGCAATTAGTAAATATTTATAATGTTTATAACTGGGAACTGAGAATGAGATAATACAATTTAAAACAATAATGAAGTATTTTTCAGAAGATGAAAAAATATCTATGTACACTTTTTTTAAAGTATTAACGGTAACTTTGTTAAACAATTCATTTCCTATTGTGTAAATAGCTTTAAAACTTTTTATATTTATACCATGTTTAAATGCTAGCGGAGAAAGATCCTTCTCAATTTTAAAAAGAATTTAGAACTACTAGAAAACATAATTATTTAATGAAAATATGTCATAGTTGTCTCTAATATCTATTGTAAATATTTTCCTAAAAAGTATAGATTGGAATTATAAAAGAGTTTGCTGTACAGAAAGCTAAAAAATAGTTTTAAATGTTTTATATTCAATAAATTTGTATTAAAATATTTATATTTAGTACCTACTAAGGTCTATAAATTTAAAAACTACCGGTGTTAAAATATGTTTATAAATATAAATAATTTAAACAATCTTAATTATGTTGTTACTTGTTGTATACATACACATATATATATATATATGTGGGATCAGTAGGAATAATGTAGACGAATGCTAGCCTTAGAATCAATATATTACAATGTAACAACAAATTACAGACACTTTAAACAAACAAGTATATAAAAACTAAATCACTTCACACTGACTCGTCGGGCGTCACAACATCACTGCCCTCTCCAGACAGGTCATCACACTGCCTTGGATTGGCCTGATCAACCCCAGTGTTACCATCCCACACACACATATATATATATATATATATATATATATATATACAATTTTAAAATCTGCCCTCATACGACAAATTTGTTAATCCGGCACTGTTTACAATAAATCCTTGCAATATTTTTTTGTTTCATTATAATTTACTTACATTAAAAACACTATTTCATACAATTATAAAAAGGTCTATGGGGGGGGGGTGGATCTGACCCACATATCCCCCCTTCTATACGCTCCTGTTCACATGTTCGATGTATGAGGCGCTGCAGCGTCATTGATAACCCTGACTGTACGACGCACTATTGTACGAATCATATACGAGGTGTGTTTAATTAGTTTCGAATAAATATAATGTAGTTTATCAAATATTTAATATATATATATATATATATATATCTAAATTAATTTTAATTTTTCAATGCTAGTAGTGCATAACCGGAAACGGGTGGTATTTACGTTCACATTTAAAATTTCGAACAACAATAGGCGTTACTGGGTACATACCTTCATTCTAGCAAGGTTTTTATTTTTAAGAGGATTTTTTAAACGTCGGTTGAAGATTTAAGATGTAACCCGGATTTCTAGGTAATTTTCAATTTCTTACATAAATTGTTCGATGTCTACAATTTTGAATAGTGATGACAATTTCAATGACTATGACAATTTTACATAGTGATTATCGTTCAATAAATTGCTAAGATATGTGATGATGTAATTTTTGTCTCGGCAACCTCGCACGAAGACGCGTAGTGACGGAAACGTGTGTGTGTCTTGATCAATTTAATTACGGTTAGGATCACAATCGCATCACAATTACGATGATGCAACAGTGTCGCACGTGTGACCGATCCATATTATATTTGTAAAGTTTTGAATTAAAAATTTGTCATCCATCTAGCATCACACAAAGTCCATAAGGTCGCGACTATAATATTTTTATATTAAATTACGATTATTAATCATTGAATATTACATTAGTTATAACATTACACACTATACATTATATATCATACTGTAACATTATATTTTTTTTTTTTTATTATTAATGATACAGCTTCAACATTAAAGTCATTAGCCGGTGACAAAAAAAAAAACATGTTTACAAGTTATTTACAGTCATCTTAATATTTAAATAAAGGAAATACAAGTATATTACAAGTATAAGGTGATAATGATATAAGTAACAATAATATATAATTATTTAGATTCTATTATATAGATTGGATATTTTAAGGAATGTAACATTATATTATTACATTACCATTTACGATTATTAACCATTACTAAATTTAAGTTCTTATTTTGTTTTCTGTTCTTTTATTAGTTACTAGCTGATCCGTCAAGGCTTCGCCCGTAATTTGTTGCTTATTTTGCGATGATATGTAGAATTTTTTATTCAAATTTTATCGTTTAATATGATTGACAAGTAAATATAAAAAACAGTTAATGAAAACGTTGTTACGGGCATACATAGATGTAGGTCCTTACTGCTCTTACAACATCGGCGGGACCACATAAATCGTAAATAATAGAAATCGGGGAATAATTATAAATAATATATTATTCGCAATAATAGAAAGGAACTATTAGTTTAAAACAGAGGGTAACGCAAATACATATTATGAAGACAAATAGTATGTAATAAATATTAAAAACAACTATTATAGACGGGCATCAGTAGGACATGTGCAAAATGCGGAATTCACGAGGTCAACCGATTACATAGGTAATCTTAGGTTGGGCGTACAAAATACAGTCAATCCAGATTGACAAATGATAAGTGATTTAGCATTCGTTAGATGTGGGTCAGCAATGAGAAGCGGGGTATATAAGGGAGTCCCAAATAGACGAATATTCAGATGTGGTTTATACGAGTAGTAGCGAGCACCTCCACGCCAGATCATCTTTTAAATTAATTATTTGTACTTAGAAAAATTTTAAATAAACAGTTAAACTAAATTGAGTATTTTTATTTGGAATATTTTCCTAATCTTCAACATCTTTACGATTGAACGACGGCACGCAACAACGTATTGAAATGTTTCTAGTGGTATTAATGTATTTTTATTAAAAATTAATACATATACAAGTGAAATACTAATTAATCTGTTGTTGGTAAATAATTTTATAAAACTTCTGAGTATATAACGTTTTTTTTTTTATCTCCCGTTGACATCAAAATCATTGAATGATTCGGTTCGAGAAAATAACACGTATAATTTTTTACATGAAAAGCACTCTGAACGAACATTTACGCCAACGTACCTAAATGTTTGATTTTGAGCTAGGTTAATGGTAATCGCAAAAGAAACTTTAACAGGGAATTGAAGTTGTTTTTGATTGAAAATGGCAAGTCAGTTGACATCATGGGGATTCTTAGAATAAATGTGATTTTTCCTTTTGTTAGCCCAGTAAGAATTACGACTTCTATAATATTATTTCGCAAACATTTTATTTGTAGTCTTGTATCGTTACATAAGTTTAAAAAAATGTTAAATTGGCTTTTTTTTTTTTTTTTGCTTTAAATTTATTTTATATGACACGTACGATCGTGTATATAATTATTATTTTTTTATTAGAGGTGCATGCATAATTATTAATAATATATGTTATAACCAGGTCACCGTTGTATTCGCTTACCGATGTGCTTGGACTCATTAAACGCTTCCGGGATGTTTCTGGTCAGCACTGCGTATACAGTGCACACGACAATCAACACGATTGGATAACCGAACGCTATCACGTACGAGGTGTTGATGAAAGACGAACATACCAATATGTTTGATTCTCTATTCGGATAATAGTGTATGACCTTTGGTGGACTGACTAGCATCCATACACCGTTGATGAGCACCTGAAACATGGTCGTACACACGATACGTGTTATCATTAATAGTCTTCGTGTGCGTGAACACATACACATACACACATGCATACACACGTATATATATATATATGATAAAAAAAGTGATTTGAAATATTTTATAGATGTTTTAAATTTATACATTTTTGAAGAAAAAAGATAAATTTTATGTAACTTTAAGTCAAAATCAAGTCATTTACTTATTTATATAAAATTTTTTATAATTTTTTCAAGTAAATATCTAGTTTTTCGAATGTTCGTAAACTTATACGGGATCAAACTATTTTTGGAAATGTTTATATTGAGTAAAATTTCATATCAAATAATATATTAAGATACTAATATCAAATTATTAAGATTATTTAGATTTTAAAATTAAAACTATGATAGTAGATGAGTAGGGTATTAACCCTTTTTCTACCAATAAGATTACGAATAATCATAATAACTAATAATGGTTCGATTGTAAAATGTATGTATCAAAATATAAAACAAATAAAAAATGAAAGCTTCTCTTTATAAAAAAAAATCGACAATTGTCGAAGAAAATGAATATCATAACTAACTTGTTGAGTTAAATCAATAATCGGGTTTGGTGTTTCTGTGGCGAAGTATAGTGTAATTTTACTGTCGAATTGATAATAAAATAATAAATACACATAATTACTTTTATTAGTCCGCAAAGGTTATGATATACGTTCTATATCACTAATTCTGTGTATGTTATTTGATATCCTGGTTATATTATCGTACTTGATTATATATTTTTTTATTTTAGTTCTTAAAATGCATTGATTCATAACACGTTATATTTGGTTCTAAGAATAAAGGTAAGACTATATTATTGTGAATTGAAAAGTCCTACATTGTACTTAATCCAATCATGTGCAACTCCCTTTTTGGATATTTAATAAATTTTTTGGTGTCGAACGTTATACACAATTTCATTACGTGATATCGAAATAAAATTGTACGCTCAATTTCGTATAGTATAATTTAAGTTTTGATAAATTTAATGGCAGAAAAAGGGGAAAAAAAATGTTACAACCAAGCATTTTTCGATATAATGTGAGGGAAAAACGGTCCTGTGCATTGAATTGCGTTTTAGAAAACTGTAAAAATAAAAAAATCTATTCTCTTCTTTCCAGGTGTTTTTTAACGTCAACCGTAAGTCACGTAGGATAAAAATTAGCTTCCGAACGTTGAACAAATATAACCAAAAAATAATGCGATACTACTCACATTTATACATCATATCTATTTATATATATCTACTAGCATTTTCGTATCTCTGGATGAAACGTGACATTGCATTTTTACCAGTTAAATTTTGAAAGTGTCAAATTATATTTACATAAGAAAATCAGTGTTTAGTATATGCATCTGAGAGGAAAAACTAATGTTCAATTATAATTACATCATTGAACAAATGGTCATCCAGGTGATGTGATTTGCAAAAAAAAAGAAAGGATTTCAAAATTTCTTTGAGATGTACTAAAGTTTAGCAGACCAACGCATGCAATATGTTTAAAAACCTAAAAACTGTTCATCACATATCGAGAAAAACCAATATTGTCTGTTATTGCGTTTGAAAGTTATTTTTATAATCAACGCAGCGTAGTGTTTCTATTATTTTCTTGAAAAATATGTTTTAAACATTGTTTATTTATGTATTTATATTATGCTGTATTTTATACATTATACTAAAAATCTAATATAGTAAAGATTTACATGATTCATATTGGAATAAGAAAAAAAATATTTTATCATAGGGTATGTAAAACGAGAAGACTTTTCAAACTAAGTGAATTGATTAACTACAGTTCAAAAATGGTGCACATTTTATTCTGTTATATACCCTTAAAAATAATTATAAAAGTAAATAGTTTATTTATAGAAAAAAAAAATAATTAATGCATAGTCTAGTGTCTATTATATTTTTAAAGTGCGATTTATATCGAATTAAAAATTACAAGGATTTTGGATTTTTAAATAATATAATCGCAATGGCACATTATACTGTGTATTGAAGATTAGTTAGTATTTTTTATTGATTAACAACAAATCTTCATAGGGTGATCTGTATGCCTACTGAAGTTTTTTGAAACAATCGACGTTATAATGATACTTTTACATAAAATAAACAATATTCCAATATTGTTATCATTTTTTTTAGTTTTGATTATTTATATACTGCTGTGTTGGTTTAATTTAGATTTATTAATAATTCGAACAAGATTATAAATAATTTTTTATAACATTAATAACTGGTATCAGTTGAATATCATACGACAAATACTTACTTGTATTGATATGAGCCCCGTGCAGATGACCAACTGCGATTTCGGTGATATGAAGTTAGGACGTTTAACGGTTCGTCGGCCTGCATTGAATATGCGTGAAATGCGGTTTGTCTTGGTTAACAATGCAGCGTACACAACGGTGAAACAGAATCCAACACCGAATCTAAATCGCGTAGATAAAAAAATAAGAAAAGCAAATTGTTGTTTATATTGTTACTTTTTTTCCGTTAACCTTAATGATTTTAGTGGTTCATACATTATACATTGTATTCGCGTTCGTTGGTTGTGTATCGAATTATTTATGTTACACGTTTAAGAGAATATCGATTTCAGAATCCATGTACTATAAATGGGTGGATTCGGGGTGATTGTTAGTTTAAAAAAAAAAAAAAAAACATTATAATTCTGGATTTACCAGTCATAGACACCAGCCATGGATTAAAATTTGTTTAAAATTAATGAAATTAATGAAATTAAAACAAATTTTAAGGCACAGTACAAGCTGAACAACGTTTTAACCTAAAAGTGTGCTCTTTGAATATTAGTATCCCTTCTCTCTTGAGCTGGTTCTGTCCTTAGTATCGAATAACGTATGACTTATGTTTATTTACCACTACGTACTACGTTTATATGCATTGATTCTGTTTCGTTACAACGTATCTATACAGAACTATTATGTGAAAATACAAAATATGCTATAGAATTTACACAATTATTATTAGTGTATAATTGTTCATGTATTCATCATAAAATCATTAGATTAAAACGCGATAAATAAAATATAAATTCAGCCAATAGTAATAATTCACAGAATAACTGTTATTATACTACTTAACAAAGAACATTTTAAAATTAATTTTATCGAATTATAATGGTATACCATTATAATGGATACTTAATATTTTTAAAGTAATATGAAATCGATAAATGATTTTCGGTTCAAATTTATTCAACGGTTTCAAAACACATTAAAATTTAAACTTTATTACATATATAAAAAAAGAAAACAAGTTTATAACTAGCACGACGATTTGCGATCAAACCATTATGACTTTGTCTTGTTTATATTTAAATTTAAATTATATATGAATTTAGAAATGTGGGTTATGATGTTCACCTATTAATATTTCAGGCATTTCCAAGATCAATATTTCTGACAGGCCCATTTAAAAGTGCAATTCGAGTAGAACATTTTACTATAGAAATGTTGAATTATTAAAGATTTCCTTGAATGTCTAGAGAGGTTAAGCTTTTTATTAATTTACTTGATGATCCTTTATCAACAATAATTGAATGTCGAAGAACTTTTTTTTATAAAATCAATAAAATTCATATACATCATAATATTTCATCAACATTTTTATTAATAACTAAATAGTATGAAATAGTTAATAAATAACTATAAGTAATTAATTAAGCAAAAAAAAAAAGAAATTAAAAATATTTTTCTTAAATTATATCAAGTTTGTATAATAATATAATGTATTAAAAAAATTTCAAGTTTCTATTTAATATAAAAAACATTAAAATGGTATAATTATTATTTGATGATCAATAATACTTGGTAAAACAGGTTTTATTAGAACTACTCATCAGTTCTATCAATAATTAACATATTCCATGGATATATCCATTATGTTAGTAATCAATTAATGTTTAATATAATTTAAATTAATAAAAGAAAATCTCACAAGTTACCGTTTTTAAGATAAACACTTTAATCGGCTAATATAGCTAGTAGCGAGTTCAATAAATTTAAAAGCTACTAAGATTGTGGTTGAAAGTCGGTGCGTAGAATTATTTCAGATTAATGATTCGATACATAGTTGAGATTATTTTAGCGGTAGATGGGCTTTCGAATTAGTTTGGGAAATTGTCAACAAATTAAAAAAAAGCTTTTTAAAGTATCTGTTATCTATGTTTGATCTTGAGTCGATTGATGGGTTGCATTAAACTATTGGATAACTTTTATTACCTGGAAAAGTATAAGCGAGAGAACGAAAAAAAAAAACCATTCATTGTAAAACCAATTCATTAATCGTTTCACTCAAAATGTCTAACATACATCTATGTCATGTGACGTTTAGTTTTTTTTTTTTGGTCTTCGAGTAACCGGACTAAAGAAATATACATTATTCTTTATTACTAAAAGTAATTATCGTTTATGGTGACATCCCGGATACTTCAATGTCTTCAGTCGAAAAGTTTTTTAAACTTAATAAAAAAGGTAAACATTTTGGTAGCAGTTAGTCGCGTGATGTTTTCAGCGGAAAATTTATGGCGGATTTAGTACATACGTAGCAATAACTACGATGACTTGTAACCATAAGTATTTTTTGTCGTTATACATTGTTGCACAGGTGTTATTGTTGCTTTGTTTAAAATATATTCTAGAAGTATAATTGTTTACATTAAAATAAATGCTTTGAATTAACCATTTTTTTTCCAACGTTGTTTGCTAATTTCTGTGTATATTTGGTTTTTTTCTAAACCTATAATTATTATATTCACCCGAAATGTTTAAAGAAAATATATTTATTTATAGATCCCATTAATGAAAGAAAAACTTTATGAAAATATTTCTTTTTCACATACATTGTAAGTTTTTATAATGTATTAATATTGTTCATAAAAAATTCTAAAAAGTTGCGAATATAATTAGTATAGTATATGAACACGTTCAATGCCATTGTCGACGGGTAGTCGACATCGGTAACATTGCCCGGGTCGCCTTTGTCGACTACCCGTCGACAAATATAGTGTTCACTTTGATGGTTTATAATTTTTACTGGCTACGAGATAATGGTCTGAAATTTATTGTAGGCGATCAGGTTCCTTCTTACGAATATAACGATACCATTGGTTTTTAATTTTGTTTATTTTTAGTTTGGATATTTATTTTTTCCCGAAATCACGACGACGTTTATCGCCGATAATAATTGTATACTGTATTATTATAACTCTGTCGCAATTTGACATAAGAAAATGGTATAAATAACATTCCCAACACTAACGTAATATTCATACAAATTATTTTATGCTGTATACACCGTGTTCTTCAGAATACAGGGTGATTCGAAAAATATAAAACTATTTTTATTACGCAATGAAAATTATTTTTAATTATGAAATATTTAACATTATTTTAACCGTTACTCTATAATTATTTATTTAATAATATATGAAATAAATTATTATTTTCAATTAGTTACATACTAGGATAAGTATATATTTCAGCATCGCGCCGTTGCGTATCGCCGGTGTCGACGCATAGTCGACCGTACGTAGTTTCGGCGCGGCGACCAGGGCGCTTCGCCGTAAACACTAGCGGAGCCCAACGAGTGAAACGATTTATTTTTTCAATGATTTATTTTATATCTTTATTTAAAAAAACTATAAAACTGTAGAAAGTGGGGACTATTAACTTGAAATAATTGAAAAAACGCTTCAAAAGTAATCGAATTTTCATGTAGTTAATCTTTGATATAATTATTCGAATTAATGTGCATTTTAATCTTATTTTAATTAAATATAATAAGAAGACTAAGTTGAATTATGTATATTTCTAACAAAACTGGTTATTCAATTATCTTGATTATATTTAAGTTAAGCTATAGAAATAGTGATAATATAAATCAACTGTTAATATTTTAATTCAATTTTTTCAAATATTTTAGTAATTTTCATTAATTCATTAATTAAAACTTAAAGTTTACAGGTTATAAATGTAATTAGACTACTTTTAATTTTATATTATAATCAAACATTACGAAGAAATATTGTGATTATACCCATAAATATTTTACTAAAGTATTTTGCAATAATAATATTCAATTTTACTGATTTGCATACAAAAAAATTTTGTAATATACTAATATGTTAACTTATAAGTATTTACTCGTAAGTTTATTATTGTTATTATAATTTATAATTTAATCTTTTGGTTCAATGAGAACACAATAATATTGATCATGTTATATGCCATATAAAATATAGTATGATTCAAACAGAAAAAATGGTAAGTTTAATAAATTCCAAATATTTTTTAGTTTGAAAACTCAACATATAGCATTTTTATTTGCTTGATTCTAATAATAGGGATTTTCCATATTCAGTAACATGGCATTGTTAATTTATTCATATTTCATATTACATATAGTACTCGAATTATATATTAATAAATACAATACATTTATCATTTAACTCGGAATCTAATATATTTGAAATTATGTATAAATATTAATCAAAATACGAAAATTATTTTTTTATTTAAATTTTCTCATCTTTTTTTTAAGACCTTATTGTTGAAACGTGTTATTTTATGATTATTTTACACTTTAATTTAGATAATAATTTTTTTGGTGAAACGACTATGACACGTTAAAAAAATTAATTATAAACTAAGTTAATTGTTAAGACTACAAAGTTCGCAAACTAAATAATTACATGTTTTTAAATTAACTAAACAAATAATAAATTAAGAAAATTCCTAAAATATCTAAAAATATATTTTATTATAAAAAATATATATTGTGTAAGAAGAAAATAATGATAATAATAGTAAAATCAGATATTTATCGTCGGTGTATGGGACATAATGGTCAAAGTTACAAATTTTTTTATCAACAAATCAGATTATATGTACCTATGACTTCAATATCATAATAAGTTCAAAAATCAATAATTAAAAGTTAATTTATAATTTTTTTCTTTTCCTTTAGCATTTGTTACAAAGAACAAATATTCTCACCATAGCAAAAATATATAATAGTTATAAACGAATAGCTGTAACGGCACAACTGCAATGAATATAAAAAAAAGCGTATACAATCATACCCAAACACTACAACCCAACATGGATATAAAATCATCTTCTCTGTAGCTAAGGCAGTGGCGATAATATGAAAAAAAAAACTATAACCACACGAGACGTGAGACAAGCGATAATACAGAGGGTGTTTAACAGTCGGTACTATGGCTAGTACTTATACAGGTGTTATGCTTGGGCAAAACAATCTTGTTTTCAGTGAATCTTTTAAAATCATTCAAACAGTTTTAAATAAAAAATTTGAAGAACTCAGACGACCAACCGATCCAGCAGTAACCTAACCATGTGAATCAAAAATCTGACGACAAACCGGCTCTCGCATACCGACCGATTTA